CCACTTGCTGCAAGTGTAGCTTTTAAATCATTGAAAAGGCTTTGAGCCTTTTCTTGCACTAAAATAAGGCTAAATAAGAATCGTATGCACCTGTTCTGACACACCTACAAATTCTTAAAAGTCAGTTAGGAATCTCGTTTGTAACCCAGGAACTGCCTATACAGTATAAAAAGAAGGAAACTCATCTCCAAGTCAGCTTTCCAAAGTGATTACAATGATAAATACATCATGATTTTATTTATATTTAAATATAAAATACAGACAGATAGTTGATTATGAAGCAGTATGATGTTTCCCTAAGCCATTTAATGCCAAGTAAGTTATTCCTAATCCATGGCTTGAAGTCTACTTTTTGAAAGCCCATAACACTTAATGTCAATAGGATTTGAATGTATGTAAAAGATGCAGCAGATACCAACTACATCTGTGGCCTTCACACATAGACAGTGTGTAATCAAGCTAAGTTTTACAGCCACACCACAGCTGTTGATAATAATACCACCAGCATTAACATGTTTTCAGTAAGAAGAAAAACTTCATGTTATATATTTTATATATGGCATCCTCAATGTGTCTTATTAACTACTTAATAATCAACAATATTATATTAACTAAGGGATAACTCAGAGGAAGCATCTATAACAGAGCGATATGCAGTCAGCCCAAATGAAGGTATGTATTTAAGAGTACATGTAGTCAGAACCCTATGATTTTTTTTTAAAAAATCATCATTTAGTTTATGCAGTAAGCCATGATGCAGTCAAGCTGTTCTTTAAACATGAGTTAAAATGCCAGTGTTTGCCTTTAAGAGTCAGCTGAAGAGTATTTTTAAAATCTAATGATGAGTAACTGAAACATGTTTTATTTGTAAAAATAAGTTTTCACCAGTGGTCACGTTATATTCCTTACTGAAAAGTTCATCTTTAAGGAGAAATGTTAACAGAAATAATATGATACTGATGATTGTGTGAATATCCTTACCTTGTGCTGGTATCTCGTGTCAAATGCATGTTTTATCAAAAGATTCTTTATGACAGAGATAGCTGTGTATCTGATCTCATAATTGTCTTGAAGAGCAATGGAGGTTTCTCTCAGAAGGAGACCCACTAAGAAGTGATGCTTGCAATACTCATCTGATAAACTGTATTCAAGATTTGAATCTGCTGTATAATGAAATTTAAAACCCATTTGTAAAAACATTCCAAAATTACTTAAAAGTTAAAATGCTCTATTTATTCTCTAATAATAATACATGACCATGCTAGCAAGGCTTACAATTTTATTATTAATGAATCTGAACAATTCTTGTATCATACAGAATCAGCATGCAAATTCTCCTACATAGATACATTTTTTAAAAATTTTTATTGTGATTTGGGTGAAAGCTTACAGAGCAAATTCATTTTCCATATAGCCGTTCATATACATTTTGTCTCATGACATTGACTGCAACTTCCCACAATATAACAGCTCTCTTCCCACATCGTCCCCATAGTTACCTCTTCCCTGTGTCCTTCCCTCCCATGCCATAGGTACACTCTTATAATTGGGGTTAGAGGGTTGCCTTAATGATGGTTTCCAGTCAATAAGATACTTCCTAGATTCTTTTTAACTCTTTAAAAAGAACCTATAATGAAAGAATTCTATATTTGGCAATGTCTTAACACATTTCTTTATATCTCAAGAGATTTAGTTAAGACTACAAATTTGAATAATTCTATACAACAATTGATTTACTTATCTGTTTACATGCTTACTACATGGTAACAAGAAGAGAAACTGGACAACTGAATCAGTCTAATGCTACTATTGACACTTGTAGCAAAAGTAACATATTGGCCCAAATACGTATCCATGGGATACAAGAATGAGAAAAATGGCCCCATCTCACTCCACTTCATCACCACATGAACACATATTGTATTTCATAAAATCACCACTTCAAATTATATCTTCCACTCCCTTTTAGAATCTTCACTCCATTTTAAATCCTAGCTGCTAATATGTTGGTTGGGACTTGCCTTATTGACTATCTTTTACTTGGAAGGGACTGCAATCATGTTTAGTAATTTCCATAATACATTTCTATTATCTTTCTTTTCTCTATCCCACCATTCAATTTGGTTAGGCCATAACGCTCTTCAGCACATGATCTACTGCTACGTATTCAGTGTGGGCTTAATGAATGCTCAGTGAGTACTCAGGTTTAATCCTAAATCCTGGTGATCTGTCCACCATTTCTTTTTTCCCTGACTTCCTCCTGTTGTTAGGTGCTGTTGAGTCAGTTCCAACTCACAGCGACCCCATGTACAACAGACTGAAACACTGCCTGGTCCTGCACCTTCCGCCTAGCTATCGGTAAACATTGGGGAAGTATGAGGGCTATACATGCTGGGAATTCAATAAGGCAGGTGGCTGAATAGGGGCACTTGGGTCTTTACCTATCTTTTCTCCATCTCCACTGGCTGTGATTCCACTACTCAGGAGATACTTCTCTAGATACCAAGGCAGGACATTTTCTCCAACCACTGGTTATGCTCTTTGTGAGTCCCAATCACTTTCTATGCACAAGGGCCAGTAAGGACTAACACAGGTGGCCTTATCTGGGTAGATTTTTGCAAGTAGCAATTTTTTATTTTAGTGTACTGAAAAATCCAATCAGGTGGTTTCGTTCACACCTTTAAACTATGGCCAAGTAATCATTAAACAGGGTCAGAGCAAAGGAGAGGCAAGCCCCGGGAGAGATGACACTCAAAAGAGCAGATACCCCCCTAAGCCTCATCCCTTGCTCTCACGCTGGCTTGCTGCAGAAACTGGTTTTCTGAGGGTGGACATTTTAAAGCTGATCCTGCTAGCAACGCTCAAGCCGAATGTAAAAGGAAACAAGCACACTGCTACCTACGTTTTCTGAGGACATGAACTAAAGCCTCGTTTTGGCTAGGGAGGATTTGATAAAGCAAACAAAACCCCCATCCGTCTTAGCCATTCACCAATTGTTTTTAAAGAAAGCAAACTACTTGAGAGTGAACCGAGTTAAACCTACCTACTGAAGTCAAACGGTCCACCGCAAATGAAAAAAAATCTAATTAATATATGAAAAGAAAAGGGACAAATAAAAAACATAGTAACATAAGAATAGTGCTACACAACAAAGCATTCAATAAAACTAGCAATGGAGATTAACTGAAGGCATTTCATACATTTAACACAGACATGTTATAATTTTACTCTGCCTTTATATTTCCCTTTTGGTGCTCCCCTCAGCAGAAATGCATTTGTCTTTTTTTGTTAATTTAGTCTCATGTAAGATTGCAAACACTACTACAGAGAGCAATTTTACAAGCACCTGCCATTAGTGTTTAAGCAGTAATGAGAGTAACAGACCTAGTTTCTTCATACCATGACTACTGTACAACTGCCACCATAAAGGAAATGCAGAAAACCTTTCATGAACCTGTCTTTAGAGAGCAGCAATTCTGACATTACCTTCAAGTTGACAGACTGAACTAGAAAACATTATGCTAAACTAGCACTAGCTAAAAAGAGGGAAAAAAATTCCAAATGATGGAACATGTAAATACATACCTTGAACTCTCTGAAGTTTAGGTTTGGCAAATGCCATTGGCAAGTTTAGAGGAATATAATGTTCATGATTGCAAATGGTTTGCAGAAATTCAAACTTGTATTCAGCCAGGACCTAAGTGGAAAGAAAGTATGCATTAACTCATATTTAGTAGGCATTTGCTTTTTAAAATAATACAGCATTACTTTTCACAAGAGGCATTTATTAGTATCTTAAGCATACCTTGAGGTGTGCTTTGTGCACCAGAGTTAATATAGCAGGCCTGAGATGGCTATCCTTTGAAAGGCTTGCTTGCATGGCTGATCCTTGGCTGGCATCTGGGAAACTAGATTTGGAAACGTTCCCTATGTAATAAGGTGTGCGCTCTGTGCCAGCCTGCATAGACTATTTCTACAAACAAAGCAATTTATGGTGAACACCTGCTTTCCTTTGGAAAGTCTGGACTTTTGATGGGCCGAGGGTGCCAACATGGGTACTCCTAATAGACACTCTAAAATTCTGAGTCTCAAACAGGCTTCCCTGAGGAGAAACGCTGCACATGTATGGTTGCCTTTTCCCTGCTGGAGGTGGGTGTGCTTCATGTGATCCTCACAGGACGAAAAACCCTTAGCAATCTTGTGCATGGACTCCTACCCACTTTGCTTGATGTCTTTTTTCTGTATTGATCTGACTGGGCGCCCTCACTGGGTTGATGTAATGAATCTTAGCCGTGAGTATGACTATATTCCAAGTGCTGTGATTTCTTCCAGTGCATCATCAAACATGTTGTGGTCTTGGGGACCCCCAAAACACTAACCAATATTCTTTACTTTGAAGTATAGCTATACTCCAATTATCCAGTATAAACAGTAGTTTCAAATCTTCTAGATGAGAATAAATGCCATCCTTGGTCTCACACTCTAACATCTCACATCCATGTCAGTTATGTTCTTATAACTCACCTTAGGATCTTTGGGGCTGAATCCAGATATATAATCATTTATCAAATTGAAAACAAATCCTCTATCCATTAGTGTCAAACAGCGCTAGAGAAATCATATAAAAATGAACTGTTATATCATTTTTAAAGTCTTGCAAGTATGAGTTTTTAACACTTATTCCACACTAAGGGGATGAACATTCCCATTTTATAGATAATAGCTTTAAGAGCTTCGGGTGACCTTAAAGAAAGAGATAAAGGGCAAGGGACTTATTGTTGGAATTGGGATTCAATTGTACAATTTTCAAAAGATAAGCATGCAGAGACACACACACACATAGCCTCGTTCATTTTGGTCACCTCTCAAAGCCCAACGTGAAATGTAGTATTAGTTACGCTAGTTACATATGGCAAGTGGGGTTTGCATATGTAAACAATACACTCCAAAAGGGGATTTTCTTTATTGTGCCCTGTGAAATCTTGGCCTATTAAAACCTTCATCCTCTGTAATAATCCCAGCAGTCGTTCATCTTTGCTGACATCCTCCCAGCTAAAGGCTCTCATTACCCCGCAACTGATGAACTACAGTTAGCTTCCGAACCGTTTATGGTAGTTAAGGTTGTGTATCAACAGGACTGGGCAGCTGGATGTAGTTATTCCCCATGAGACTGCTAATCAACTCCATGGTGGAATCTACTGTGAGCAGCTGAGTAGCTGTCTTAGCAATTTGGTCTGCTCCCAGTATAAAAGCAGCTACTTTGAGGAAACCAAAAAACCCAAACCAAACTCACTGCTGTCGAGTTGGTTCTGACTCACAGCGACCCCTCCTTGGGTTGCCAAGACGGTATCACTATGGAAATAGATTGCCCCACCTTCCTTCTGAGGAGTGGCTGGTGGGTTTGAACCGCCGGCCTTCTGGTTAGCAGTCTAGTGCCTTAGGCACTACGTTACCAGAGTTCCCAGGGAACCAAAACTACTGATCTTCATGCTTCTAATCTTTCTATTCATCTAGCTTCCAGATTATTCTCTGAATCCTAGCCCTCATCATGTCACTCTCCCGCCCAAAAGCTTTCAACAGCTCCCTATTGCCTCTAATAAAATTTCAAACTCTTCTTGATAGTCAAGGAAAACACTCGTAAACTTTGTAGCTTATTTCCTAAATACAACTCATCTACTTACTAGCCTCTCGAGATGCTCTGTGTATTCCCACCTCTGGGTCTGTCTTTACTCATGCCAGGTCTAGCTATTCTATCACTACTTCTATCTAATCCTGCCCATTTTATTCCCCCTAATAATTGGATTGTCATTGTGGTAGTTGTTCAAAGTATACACAACAAAAACAATTGTACATATGTACAATTCAGCGATACTGGTTGCATTCTTCAAGTTGTGCAACCACTCTAATCCTCCTTTTCTGAGTTGTTCCTCCCTCATTAATGTAACTCTCTGCCTCTTAGGCATTCTAATCTTTGTAACTTATCAGTTTGATCCCAGAGATAGTTCTTTAAAGGAGCACAACAGTCAAGGCAGACATTGTTTATTAATTAACCTAAACTACTCGATGGCCGTGATTTTAGTTTTTGGTTTACTGTGTGGTTTTAAGATGACTTCAGGGGTATCTAGTTTAAAGTTTAAAGATTATCTCAGTGCAGTAGTTTCCATGGTTCATCCAGCCTCCATGGCTCCAGAAAGTCTGTAATCACACCCATTCTTCAAGGTGCTGCTGAAGTCCCACTTTCCTTAACCACTTTGGTCCACAGCTCCCTTTCAATACTTTTTCCTATACTAGCTTGTAATTTAATGGTCATTTTTGCTTGTGCTCACCTGGTAGGACAATAGGATTTTTTAAATTATATATATTCTCAACAGTGCCTAGCGTATTCCTGTGAAACAGAAGGAACTTAATATTTGGTCAACCAGTTGTTAATCTCATCTTCTCCTTTCAATTCCTATTGCCACTGCCCTCATCACCTTTCACCTGGATTACTGAGGTAGGTTTATATATTTATTCATTCATCCAACAAACACTTTGAGAATCTACTGTGTTCGAGACAATGTATTACATTCTCAAAACAAAAACAAAAACCTTACTGACCAAAATTAACAATTCTCATTCACACATATTAGTAACATGTAGTCTGTGGTCACATCAGCAAACAGGTTGCCTTAGTTTAAGAAATGCAAAATCAAAACCCTATAGGGGTCAGAGAAGTGATTTAAATGTATACAAAGAATCAGGGCTAACTAAGGAGTTGTGGGTGCTTTGGCAAACAGGGACATGCCCCATCAAAAAGGATTGCAAATAAAATATTTTTAAAAGCTTTTGTATAGGACAAACAAAACATGCCTGCTAGCTAAGCCACCTGTGTGCAACCTGTGATTTCATTAATTAGCCATTTCAATGGGGAGGAAAATCAATCACATTTGGCTGTTCAACTGACTTAATGGATGATTCTTTCTAGCAGACTTCTAAAGACCTTAACCGAGTTCCCAGAAAGTGGGTTATTTCCCTTCTGGCTTTCAACTATCATAATCAGTGCAGAATCGCCCCTTACCATGTTTAGGCTGCATTTAACTCACCTTGAGGAAGCTAGCCAAACTGTAATTGACATTTCTGGACTCATCAGGAATCTCTGCATACCGTATAGTTACATGGGGAATTATCGCAAGCAGCAGTGAATGTAAGACATGATGATATCCCTCAAGAAATCGCTGGCCTCTGGGAAGCTTAAATCAGAGACACAGAAAAAAGTCAAGGGTTTTAAAGGTCTAAATAAATTGCCATTTTAACTTCAAATACATCCCATACATAAACATATTTTTAACTAGGGTATACTCTTTCTCTCTACTTAAAAGTGACATCACTAATTCAAATGTATATTTTACTCTAAATTGTTATCAGGAACTATCTGGATCTCTAACAGTACAACACACTAAAATTATCAGCATGACCAGGTCATTCCAACCCAACTGTGGAATACTATGTTAATGACAAATCCATTTTTCATTCCATTTCTTTCCCTGACACGAGAGTATGCATGCATCTCAATTTCTGTATATCCGTTCTATGAAAATTCTCACAGAAAAGACAAATTTGAGGTTTATATTTCTTTGTTTTTACTTTACAAGTCTTAGTTTTAGGATTCCTGTATCTAAGAAAATTTCTTTGTATCTTTAAGACAACTGTACAAATCAACTCAGTGAATATACCACATTTCAGGAACACATCTATTGCATAAAATGCTTTTAACTTTGTATACAACACAGACCTTTCTAAGGAAAAGGTTATTTCTGATTCGATACTTATTTTTCTTGCAACTGGATGTTTTTTTAACAGACATTTTAAACCATAAGACAAAGGCAAAGCTTCAAAGTTAATGAGTTTTATGTGGCGAACAACTGGAGGAAAGAATCCATGGGAAGATTTTCTGCAGATTACACTGTGAAAAATATCAACTGTCAGACCTAAGACATGTTTTTTTTTAATAAGCAAAGTTGAAAAAGCTAAAGGCTAAGAATCCTGAACCATAAGAGGATGTGCATATCATGGTGCTATGTAAGATTAACTTTCTTTGTTCGTGTTAAATATTCTCAAGCCTACTTACCTTAATTTTATTGTCTTCCAACAAGTATGTGGCCATAGACTTTGCCATAATTTCAAAGAAAAACCACGAATACTAAAATAAACAAACAAATCTTTAATAGGTGCCCAAATCTCTGAAGCTTAGCAAAGTTTAACAAATCAATGAGGGTCTTGTTTCTGAACTTGAACAGCGTTTTAAAGCAAGCCCAACTCACTATATCAAAGTCCCACAGAACACTTTCAACTTGTTTTAGAGAAATGTAATATTGTAGAGTGATGTGCAAAGGATGTGTGGTGGGAATGTCTGCCGTAGTGGGCAGGGATATTTTATCATCGATGCTGTTTAAAATTTCCAGCACAGGATGGTAATAAAATAGCAGACCAACTTGTAGTTGATCTTATTGTTTTAAATTCTCTACAGACAATGAATCTCATCATTACTGCTTGCACTCAGCAGTGGACCCAGTCCCACTCTCGGTACAACACTGGGGCCAGCCTAAGGAGTGCCGGTGCTTGCCTACACAGTGTGATCTGAAGGGTACACAGAGAAGCCTCCAGCAGATATATACTAAGATACCCCAAATTCTAACATTAATAACAGAAATAGTAAAAGGCACAACAACAATAAGAGCCACCATTTATTGAGTGCCTACTATGTGCTGGAAACTGTTAAGTGCTTTACTGATATTTGAGAAACGAAAAAATAGAGGATCAGTTGTGTATGATTCCAACTCATAGCAACAGAGCAGAACTGCCCCATAGGGTTTCCAAGGCTGAAATCTTGACAGAAGCCGATTGCTAAGGCTATTCTCCTGCAGAGCTGCTTGATGGATTCGAACACCATCCTTTTGGTCAGCAGCTGAGCATTTAACCACTGTGCCCACGAGCTCAGAGAGGTACCTGGCCCGAGGTCACAGAACTAGTACCTAGTACGTGGTAGATCCAGGAGTCTAAGCCAGGTCTATCGGATCCAGAATTCTTTCTACTACTCATTTGATTGGGAGCAGGAGTTGGGGAGAGTGAAGGCTGTGTAGAGAACCCGAGGAAAACTATGCAGGGTCACATGAGAAAATGATGAAAGCCTAGAACTAAAACGGGAGAGTGTCCCATGAGTTCTCTCTATGGCTGCTTTTGTTCCCCACATGTCCTGTTTCCTTACCTTTAGCAGTTTGTTTATTGCTAAAAAATCTGCAGACTGCTTCAGTATTGCTATCATCGTAGTGGCCAGGGTTTCATGTATCAGCTGGCCCAGAGGAACACTCGGTTTTTCAGGTCGGAAGCTATACTACAAACAAAGAACACAAATCGTGAAACCAAATGTTCACATGAAGCAAACTGCTCAGAAAGCAAGCTTACTCCACAAACCTTTATGAAGGATCTCAAGTAGTTATCCAAGCCTTCTTCATGGCACTTTGATACAATATGTAAGAGGACCCTGAAACAACATTCACAAATGTCAGCATGTCATGCGAGGATCTCCATAGTTTGATTGTTGAATAAGGTTTATAACCCTAAGAACTTCTAATACTGCCTGACTAATTACAGTGTAATAATTGCCTAGGGTGTAATGGTAGTGTGTGTGGGTCTAATAAAGATTTCAGCACCTAACATGCTCAGGGCCTAATAAAATTTATTTTCTGGTTCAAAAGGATACCTGATTTTGGCAACCCAGATGTTTCACCTCAATTCTAAATCTCTGCATACCTTGTAAATATGGTCACAGCTACTATGTGGTAAAAGACTTGAAGTAAGGGAAATACTGAAAGACCCTCTAGTGAGAACAGAAGGAAAAGAATAGAAAGATAAAATGAAAAGCATGTCAACAGATGGGAGAAAAGAGAGACATGACAGGTATAATGATACAAACTAAACTTGGAGGTAAATATAAAATTCAGAGCATTAGCGGGCATCACAATCACCTGGAAGGCTTGTTAACTGATTGTTAGGCCCCAGACCCAGAATTTCTGATTTTGTGGGTCTGGGAGAAGTTCAATAATTAGCATTGTCAATAAGTTACCATGTAATACTGATGCTGTTGCTCTGGAAACCACACTTAGAGAACCACTGAACTACGGTAACACTTAAGTTTTTTAACCAGACTACCCCCCAACAGCTGAGAACAAACGGTGTGCAGATATGGGTAAGGTGGCAACAGCAGCAGCACTGAGGCCAGGAACATCTACCACTGAGCTCACAATTTCTTGAAGTCTTCCTGTTTGAATTTAAAAATTCAGGGGCATTTTGCATTCTACTCTATATCTTTGTTTTCATATAAAAATAACATTCCCTTGTTTCAAGTAAACATTGATGGTTTAGGGCTGCACTGTCCAATATGAGAGCCAACAGCCATATGACATTATCTAAATTTAATTAAAATGAAATACAATGAAAAACTTAGTTCCTCAGTTGCATTAATCACATGTCAAGTACTCAATAGTCCTATGTGGCTAGTGGATACCACATTGAACAGTACAAGTGAAGAACTTTTCCATCATCACACAAAGTTCTATTGGATATGACTGGTCTAAGGCCATGGTTCTTAAACTCTGTTGCATTATGGAATCACCCGAGAAGCTTGAAAAAATTCGGATACCCAAGTTCCATCCATGGAGATTGATTTTATTAGTATGAACTATGGTCCAGACATACAGACATTTAAAAAAAAAAAAAAAAACTCCCCTAGTGATTCTAATGTGCAGCAAATTTTGAGAACTCTTCATTGAGAAAAATACATCAAGTCGCCCTCCGGTACCATCTATCCCTGAGGATATAAGTCTCCTAGTCAGAGAAGCATGAAAATAGAGAAAGCTGAAATCAGAATTCTAACGTTTGGGTTATCATCATTTGGAAGATAGGATTATACTTAAAGTGAAGAAACTCAAAAGAAAACAAAATTTGTTTCTGTGTATAACACCAAAACTCACATGGTGCAGTTGATAGGTACGTCATCTTCATGGGTCATATTTGTGAGAACTCGGAAGAGTTGCATAAGAATTACAGGTAGAAACTGTATCATGACTTGGATCTCCATGGCATGCAAACACTAAAATAAGTCATTATTAGTTATGAAAACAAACAGAAATATGATATAATTTGCAAATGTGAAACAGAACAAAAAATTAAGTAATGAAAAGTATATTTACTAGACTATAAGCTCACCAGAATGTGAGCTTGATGGGACAGGAGACTTTGTTTTATTAATTACTTATCCATACCTCTATTTTCACACTCAGATTTTATTAGTTTATTTCATACTTAATTAAATACTTTACCTAGTAAGTACAACTGGGATAAAAAGGTTTTGGAGTACAGGCAGTCCCCGGTTACAAACAAGAGCTGTTCCTAAGTTTGTTTTTAAGTTGAATTTGTAGGTAAGTTAGAACAGGTGCATACAGTTCTTAAGTACAAGAAAAGGCCTTTTCAATGATTTAAAAGCTGCACATGCACCAAGTGAAGGTGATTGTGATGAAGAATTTGTGAGTAGGCATTGGTTCATTCAATCATTTCGGAGTGAAGGCAAATTTGCATAACATTAAAGGGCAAGTACGAGTTGTCTCTAAGTTGGACGTTCAAGTCAGATGTTCATAATCTGAGGACTTACTGTAAATACAACTGACTCTTGGTAAACAAGCACTCAATTGGGGTGGGGTAGAGCGGGGGTGTAGATGTGTTTGGAGGTACTGGAGACTAGCCTAATGGCCCCAAGCATTCAGTGTGGTTTACGGAGGGCACGTGGACCATCAGTTAATCTGGTGAGAAATGGAATCCAGTTAAGAGTGCACCTATACATAATTGGCCTCACACCAACACCATCTACAAAACCAAGGCAGTTTTGCATTCTAACATCCTCATAATAATACTGCTTCAAAATGCTAACACTGTCTGTATTGATAGATGTGATTAACATGAGAAAGGAGAGTTATGTTCCTATATACATAGAAATGATATCAGCAACAAAATTTATTTAAAAAATAATACCTCTTCTTTCTTTCCTTCTCATTCACTAACCAACCAACCCTTGCTAAGCACCTTCTACATGCAATTCGACACATTAGTGCCACAGGAAGTACACAGATGGCTAAGGCAAGTCTCTGCACTTAAAAAAGTTCCTATTTTTTTTTACAATCTTTCTTACTTTTGCCCCATCTTCCCATCCTTACTCCCACCAGTCTCAGAACTCTAATCATATATATGCTAATTATCCCAACAGTGACTTCTTAGAATTCTATGCAGCCTCTCTCCAATCAGACGCATGAGGTAAGATACTTAACTCAAGGAACTCGGTCTACCAATGAAACTTTCCCTTTCTCTCCCCCTGCTTCTCTTCTATCCTTACTGTCATACTTCTTCAGGAACCTCTAACCTATAATGAAAACAGTCTAATAGTTTTCTAGTAGGTCTCTGTATAGTTTCCTTTTGCTTCAAATACATCCACCTCTCGTCATCTTCCTGAAACACTGGTTACATTAGAGCACCTCCTGCCAAGATTTTGTGATGCCTATGGCAGTGATTCTCAACTGCGAGCTATTCTGCTCCCTACCCCACCCCAGTCTTGGAGATATCTGGCAATGTCTGAAGACATTTTTGGTTGTCAAAACTGGGGGATGATGTGCTACTGGTGACAGGATCCTGTCAAATATTCGACAATGTACAGGACAGCTCTCTACAACACTGTTGCCCAAGCTAAGGTTGAGAAAGCTTGACCTAGGCAAGACTTATGACTCGACTTATATTTTCAGCCTTAACCATCACTGTTGTGCTTCATAGGCCAAATTAGTGTCTTCACTGCTTCTTAAATATATCATATGCACGCCTATGTTTGTGCCTTTGTTTATAGTTCAGCCAAATCTTAGCCTCCCTTCCAAGTCAAGTTCAAATCCCCACTCAGTGAAGTCGTTCCTTCACTCTTACCAACAAAATTGTACTGAATGAACTGCCGAAGTGTCAAGCACATCAAAAGGACATAGTTCCTACCATCATGCAGTTCAGTCTATAGAAGAAAAATACACAGGACTAAACCAAACATCAGTAAAGTGTACAATATTTTTATATACAAAATGCACAAAGGAAGAAATAATTAAGTTTTTGAATGAGTTGGGGATGTCAGATAAGGCTTCAGAGAGGAGAAGCTTTAAAGGGGAGGTAGGATGATGCCAGGTAGAAAAGAGACATGGGCATTCCACACAGGACTGATCTCTGTTGTCAGGATAGCTCCTCTCTAATTTATTCTCAACACAGCAGCCAGAGTGTGCTTTTAGAAATGCAAATTGGATAATGACATTTCCACCTTGTTAAAAGCAGAACAAAACAAATCAACAACAAAAAACTGTCAAACGCTCCCTATGCATACAAGTACCTGCCCACCTCTCCAAACTCCTCTCAGGCCATCTCCCCCCCTACCCCTCTGTTCATTGTGTTCCAGCTACACGGTCTTTTTTCTGTCCTTTAAACATGCCATGTTCATTGCCATCTCAAGGTGTCTGCTCCTACTACCATACTCTGCTCTCCTTTTACGCAGCTTTATCACCTGTGGCTGTCTTCCTCTCATCAGTTTCTTTTCAGCTTAAAGTACCATCTCTGCAGACAGGTCTTCCTTGGTAGTTCTATCTAGAATGCACTCCCAGTCTTGTTGTTAGGTGCTGTCGAGTCAGCTCCGACTCACAGTGACCCTATATCCAAGAGAATGAAGCACGGCCCAGTCCCGCACCAGCCTCACAGTCCTTGCTGGGCTTGAGCCCATCGTTGCAGCCACTGTGTCCATCCATCTCATCGAGGGCCTTCCCCTTTTCTGCTGACCCTCCCCTTTACCCAGCATGATCTCCTTCTCCAGGGAATGGTCCCTTCTGACAACATGACCAAAGTATGTAAGACACAGTCTGGCTACTCTCTCTTCCAAGGAGCACTCTGGCTGCACTTCTTCCAGGACAGATTTGTCATTCTTCTGGCAGTCCATGGTATTTTCAGTATTCTTTGCCAACATCACAATTCAAAGGCATCAATTCTTCTATCTTCCTTATTCATTACCCAGAGTTCACAGTCATGTTAGAGCCCATTAACCTGTTCTATTTTCTTTACAACACTCAGCTCTATTTAAAATTACTTATTATTTGTCTACTAAAACCAAAGATGTTGCCTAATTTTTCCCATTATATTCCCAGCACCCAGAACGGTGTCTAGCTATAGCAGCTACTCATAACCAGTATTTAGTGAATGACTGAATAAATTAATAAAATAAGGAACCAAATTGTAAAATAAAGACGGGGTCCTGTAGTGTACAGTGGTTCCTCAGTTCACTGATCCCTTAGCACTTATGCTGGATCCATCACACATTTGACATTAAGAACACATTGCTTATAAAATAGTATTTGTATTGTGCTCATATTTCCATTTAACTTATGTGTGCTCTGTCTCCCCAGTGAGGCTATAAGATCTTATGGACAATGACCCTAAGTCTTCTCCTCAGCAACTAAGAAAATAGTAAATACATAATAAGAGCTCAGAAAATAGATGACAAATGAACTGATAAACAATGTAATTTACAGGGACAAGGTTTTGGTAGAGTGGGACTAGGAGTCAAGAGACACATGTCACATGCTCGGTTCAGCTCTGCTACCAAGCATCTGAATGACCACAGGCAAATCACTACTCGGGCTTCAGTTTCCTCCTCTGTGAAAAAAAAGACTTCTAGAATTCCTTAGAACACTAACATTCCACGCACAAACCCAGCTATTTCTATAACCACCATGGCATCTCCCTCTCTGCCACTAGAGGGCAAGCGTAAGTCATACAACTCTCAGAAATTCCACACCCTTAAAATGCAAATATGAATACTTTTTTTCCCCTGTCATCTCAAGAATACCAGTATATAAAAGTGATGTGCTGTTCCATTCTATTCGGTTTAAAACTTTTACAAAACTTCCCTATTGGAGGTAAAAGTCAATGAACTTAATAGAAAGAGCTTTCAAACATACAGCTGTAGACATCGTAGACATCACTGGGGAAAGGGTTTGAAAGTTAAATGACTGTTATACTTATTAATGGTAATTGAAAGGGCCCTGGTGGTGCAATGGTTAAGCGCTGGGATACTGACTGAAAAGGCTGGTGGTTCAAACCTACCCAGTGTCTCTGCGGGAGAAAGACTGGCACTCTGTTCCCGTAAAAATTTATGCCTAGAAAACCCTATGGGGCAGTTCTACTGTCACACGAGGTTGCTGAGTGTCAAAACTGACTTGATGGTGTACAATCACAACAACAATGGCAATTAAGAATAACAATTACCATTTATCACTGATCCCCTGCTTTTACCCTTGTCTTCCAACCATATAATTTCTGTACGGCAGGCAGAAGGATACTTTTAAAATCAAAGTCACATCACGTCACTCCTCTGTTCAAAGCCTTGTAAGGCTTCCATCTCACTTGGAATACGATTCACACTCCATGCCACAGCTTATGAGGCCTGACTCAACTAACTCTCCCGAGAGCTCTCCAACATAATACCCTGTGCTCTCGCCAGACTGTAATTCTTTGCTTTGTCTTGAATGCACCACGCTAGCTCTTCAGAGCCTGTGTCTTGGCTGTACTTGCTGTCCCCAATTCTTCCCCCAGAAATCTACTTTATTTCCTTTAAGGTCTCTACTCAAACACCTTATCAGAGAGGGCTTCTCTGATTGCTTTCTCTAAATCAGGGACCCATCTCATCACTTCCTCTTCTAATTCTGTTTTTCCTTCATTGCATTTATTATCTCCTGACCTATCATATTTATCCATCTAATTGTTTATAGTCCATCTGTCCTCACAAGAAAGTAAGTTCCTTCACAAGAGGGTCATTCTTTGTTTCTTCCCTTATATCCTCAATGCCTAGAACAGTGCCTGGCCCAAAGGAGACTCACAAATAAGGGTTGAATGAACGAATGATTATAACACGGCAGCCATCTTACCTCATTTTGAATCCTCACAACCACCCTACAAGATGGATACTGTTGTTATCCCCATTTGACAGATGAAAAAAATAAAGGACTTGAGAAGTAACTTGGCCAAGGTCCATCACAGAGCTAGGAGGTGACAGATCTGGGACAGAAACTCAGTTTATGATTCCCGAACATATGCATTTTATCTCAGGCCATACTACTTTTCTGAAAGAAATGCACAAGTAATAGCATATATCTAAGAAAATGTCATAGAGGCTTTATTCAAAAATCAAAATTCCTCAGACCTGTCATGGCAGACCTGCTAAAGGAACAATCAACAGAAAAGAGCTACCCTCAGCTAGGTCCTCTGGTGTGCACTCTGGTCTTAGTGCACAGGGAATAAATAGTTTTATTCTCTATAACCCATAGTCATTGAGTTGATTCTGACTCATAGCAAACTCATGTGACAAGAGTAGAACTGCCCCATAGAGTTTCCAAGGCTGTCATCTCTGTGGAAGCAGACCGCTACATCGTTCTCCTGCAGACTGGCTGGTGAGTTCGAACCATGGACCTTATGGTCAGCCCACTAGGGCTCCTTAGATTCTCTATCCAGGTGAGAAAATAGGGTATTCCTTAAGCCTCTCCCCTATGCAACATGCACAAAAGATGTTTCTTTCTCTCTTTTGCTGACCCTTTTGATAATCTTTCACTCATGGATACGGGAGCCATTTCACGTTTTCTTCCGAGCAAAAGTGATTCTGTTTCTCCTGGCCCCTTTCCCACTGCACACTCCACCTTTACTGGGCAGTCAGCAGGAAGAGCAAAGACCTGAAAAATCAATTTATGGAACCGAAAGAACCATTTTCATGAGATTTTTTAAAAACTACGATGTCAAATTCTGGCTGTAACATTTTCTTCCTAATGCAGTAACTCTGCTGTGAGCTTCTCAACAGCCGCTTGATGGAAAAGTACATAAAAGAAAATGATCTCTTGAGGATACACCATCAAAAGTATTTAAAAAAAGTGTTAGTTTGGATTTTTTTTTTTTTCCACATCAAAATGAATGGGGCAACAGAAACACATGAAAAGCAAACCTTTTGCAGAAAGCTGCCACTCATTTACCTTTAAATATTTAATGAGCTCCCCTGGCACTTCTTTAGAGCCTGACTGAATCAGCTGGCAGTGGTGGAAGAATTTGTGCACATGCAGATCCTGGAACACAGATGGAAACAGCCATATGAAATCTGATTCATTACCGCAAATGCAGGCTCTCTACCTCTTCCTCCTCCCACATCTTGCAAATCTATCTATCCAGGTATTCCGGTGCCCAGACTCAGCATGAAAAGTGGCAAACCCAAGTCAATTTGGCACAGACCTAAGCACACCAGGTAGGCTATACTTTATGGACAAGAAATTACACGTCCATTTAATTCCTTTTTTGACAACGTATTCGATGAAACTGTGCTGCTTCTGTATTTTGATGAAATGAGCAAGAACAGAGGATTCATGGACAGATGAAGAAAAAGTAGCAGCAGGAAATTAGTTACCAGAACAACAGTCTCGGGCATCTGATGCCCAGTTTTACCACAGCCTTTCACTGGTGAGTCCAACTGTTCCATAGAGCATCTATAGACACTGGTTTCACGGCTAGCACGGACTATATCAGGAAGCGGAATAATGAAATTTGGAGTTTTACCCAGTTTTCTAATTATTACCTGTGTGACCCCCCTGGGAAAGTCACCTAACCTGCCTGAGTCTCACTTTTTTCATCTACACAACAGTAATAAATAGCTTCCACATTCTTTTCAGAGTTTTGTGAGGCTTGAATTAGATCATGAGGATAAAATGATTTTATAATTGGAGAAGAATAAAAGGTAATTATTATTAATTATATATATATTATTATATACTTGGGGTAGTTAACGTTGTATGTCAACTTGGCTGGGCCTGGTCGAGTGGCTGGGCAGCTGGATGTCATTCCCCATGGTGAGATTAGTGATTAACTCCATGGTGGAATCTACTGGAGCCAGCTGAGTAGCTGCCTTACGGATGTGGGCTGCTTCCAGTATACAAACAGCAGCTTTGAGGAAGGTCTCCAGTCGATGGCACGCTTGAACCCTGCGTGTAGCCGAGTCGTTGTTCAGCAGCCTGCCCTGTTGCCCTGCCGATCTTGGGACTTATTTAATGAAGTTGAATTAATGGCCTGCTGTGTAGTTTGGTAATATCAGGACTGTGCCTTTTCACTTGCTGATCTTGGGTTTGTCAGCCTCAGCAGCTAGCAGCTGCCTGAGTGAAGAGATGCCTCTAGCTTCAGTGGGCTGGGAGCAAGAGACAGAGCTGAAGCCCAAGGTTGAAGGGCTTTCACCCAGCCCCTAGGGACTGGCACCTTGAACTTGGACTTCAAGCCTCACAAACAGTAAAAGAATAAATCCTTGTTTGTTAAAGCCATCTCATTTGTAGTATATTCCTGTCACAGCGGTACTAGGTAACCAAAACTAATAATTTACATTATTATTAATAGCAATACCACTCAGTTAGAAATAACAGGCCACAACTTCTCCAAGGTTGTAGGAATCAAATATAGTCTACTTTGAACAAGAAATATACTTGAGCATTAAGCTGACAAATTCAGATGATTCAACTTACTTGAGTGTAAATGGTAGACTCTAAGTGGCTTTTAACCTTTAACAAAGGCTTCGCACCATCCACCCACTTGATATCCACACTGGGTTGCTGTGAACAGAAAATATAGACAGTTTTCATAACATGGCAAGGGATAAAGGAACAACGTATTATATACCTTTACTCATTTCAACTATTTTTTTCCCCCCAGAAATATGGTAGCTTCACACAAAGGAAATTAATGGAGAAAATAATCAGCATTTAGAATAAATGTGTCCTAAATCATTTTTACTTTCCAATCCTTTGCATACCAATACTTTTGTAAATTACAATTACGTTATACAATAAATATACATTTAATGTATATAATACACAATTAATGTATACAATAAATACACATTAGTAAATAAGTGAATTTAAATACAATTACATATAAAATCTGAGTCCCATGTTTTAAAAAATATATATTACTAGAATCAACAGACTAAAATTACACGGTCAAACTGTTATAAATGTTTCCAAACACTATTACTTTCTATGCTTAACTTTGTGGTGGACCAGAACTAAACCACTATCCCCAACTAGGGAGCTCTGGTGGTGTAGCGCCTAAGGCATTTGACTGCTAACCAGAAGGCTGGTAGTTCAAACCCACCAGCCGCTTCTTGGAAGGAAGACTGGGCAATCTACTTCTGTAGAGATACCACCTCAGAAACCTGAGGAGTCATTAGGAGTCAAATCGAATTCATGGTGGTTGAGTTTGTTTTTCTCGGATCCCCAATTGAAGGATCCCTGGTGGCACAATGGTTAAGCACTCAGCTACTAACTAAAAGGATGGTGGTTCAAACCCACTAGCCACTCCATGGGAGAAAGACCTTATGATCTGGCCCTGTAAAGCTCTATGGGGCAGTTCTACTTTGTCCTGTAGGGTCACTATGAGTCAGGATTGACTCCACGGCACATGACATCATCATCCCCATTATCAACTCGACCAAAAGACTTGCATTTTAAAACACTTCATCATGACTACTCAGCAAATGCAGATTATTTTCCTACCCTTCTTGATTCTGCATCATTCAGATTCAAGTAGCCTGGAGGAAGATTGGCTGACACTGGCAGCTGCTGCTCAAATGTGATGATTCGACCATCCTTCAGCAAAGGTACCCATGCAAATCCAACTGCCAAGACAGTCATCAACCATGAGAAATGAAACAGCAAATACAATTAGCTACACAAATGTCTGATGACTAGGAAGCAGGGCAGGGGGGTGGTATTTCCAGGGATCTGGATATGGGTATCCAGGTGTTGGGCATCTGAGTACTGGGGAAGGAACAATGGGTTTGGATTGCTTCCTAATCCCATCCTGGCCACTAAGTTATTCAGATTCACTATTTCCTTGACTATAAAAATGAGAACAAGAGCATGGAGTTATCTCCAAGTACGAGAGTTAATGAAAGACCAAAGTGAGACAATATATGAAAACACTTAAAAAAAATTTAGAAGTACATCAGTATCATTATCTTTATACTTTTTCCCCAGGGGTATACAGCTCTTTAATAAGCATATATTCTGTTCTTGTCAAAACCTGCACCAATGTTCAGTGAGGAAAAAAATTTTTTGAAGACCTAACAATGGACCCGTAGGGAAAGTCTTGGGGTGACAAGACTTGCTGAGGGTACAGCTGTATGGAGTAGAGACCAATCACATCATCCTTCCACTTTGTGGGCTACTTTTTAGAAGATGACTTTTTTTCAGAGGTTCTGGTCTCACTCATCCATCTTTACACCAAAGGTACAGAGTCTCATATCATAAGGAGGTATGGAAAATTAAGATGCTAAGTCAAGGTGACCAGTCCAGATTTATGAGGTAGTAGGCACAAGTGATATGGTTGGGCAGTGTTTTCCTGATTATGGAAGGAAGAGGTATAGTAGGAGAATGAAGCTGGAGTACTGGGTTTATGACTGGAATCCACTGAGCACATTTCCCTAGTCTCTCCATTTCTTAACAGTTCTACCCAAAAGAGCCTCTTGGCTTTCTGTTAGAAAACTCATTATGTTCTAGCTACAAAAGCCAGAGCCATCTGTGCTGCTCAAGTTGAGTGGTGTCAGTATTTCCATTAGAGAGATTACTCTGGGTTTCAAGTGTTTGTAACTTTGCTGTAAAAAAGCCTGCTCAGGACTGAGTTTTGGCATATGACACAGGGTGTTGGCTGGAGAGCACTTTGTGGAGCCAACGCTTTTCCGATTCTTTCAAATTCTTTGTGTGAGTGCGTGTGCGCACGCGTGTTTATACTGTGAACGTAGAAATCAACACAAATCTGGTTAGAATGTTTTCATTCACGTTTTTAATTTGGCAAATGCTTTAATTCTTAAAAGAGGACTCAAATGTTGTGTTCTTTAAGTAGACTAAATGGCTTTCTCAGACTCTGACACATGCCAGAAAGGCATCTGTACTAGGACAACCTCAGAAATGGTTTGCCCAGACATTTGCTTTTATAAAAACCAAAGCACCATGTAATATGAGCAGAAGAACCATTCACGATGACTCTGTCAGAGCAGTTAAACTAAAAAATTGACAAATGAGAATGGGGCTCCAGCCCAGAAAATGAAAAGATGTTTCTTGTTCCCAGCATTTTTTTCTGATACAATTTTTTTATTGAGATATAATTCACATACCATATAATTCATTCATTTAGTATGTTCGCAGAGTTGTACATCCATCACCACTATCTAATTGCAGACGTTTTTCATCACCCCCAAAACCAAAAAAAGCCCTTACCTGTTAAGACACTTCCCATTACCTATTTCCCCCAGCCGCTGGCAACCACTAACATACTTTCGTCCTCTAGAATTGTTCAGGTAATATTTTTGCACTGTGACTTAATCAGCATGGTCAAGTGTGTCCCTTAGTGAAAACTCATCTAGAGCTCTTGTAAGCTCTTAAGGTACAATGTCAAGCACACCATCTGGCTCAAAGGTGTGAAGCCACTTAAAGGACAGACAGTTCAAAGTGATACAGAATAACCATCTCAAGCTGCACTGAGTATCTTGCCCACTTCTGTCTAGGACACCTGTAATTTATCTCTCAGGAGGTGCACTGTCATGTGTTCTCATTGTTCTGCTAGTTTTCTTCTCGACCCTCAACGTCCCTGTCCAGAACTAAACTAACTGCACCTTCTATGGGATACAAAATAGGACCACAACTACCCACAGAGGGAAATTTCTCATATTCCATCCTGATGCCTGCTAGTTATCTTTACTTTGATGTTTCATTAGCATCTCACACTCTATATTAGTCTAAAATCTATCACCCTCACCTGTAATTCTGCTACTGGCAATACCTTCTTTCCAATCATCAAATTTTGAAACATCAAGTACTAACTGAATCATGTTTCTAGTAGCCACTCATTTGTTATGAGTTGGGTCCGACTCGACGGCACATAACAACAACAACTCATTTGCTGGCTCTGACATATTTTCTGCAATTCACTTCTGTCCGCCTGCTACTACCATATTGTGGGTCTCCCTTTCCTGGGCCTCTGAAATAGACCCTTAAGTGGTGTTTCTTCCATCAGTCTTTTCTTGCTCTAATGCACTTTACTCATTATATTGTTGCCTGATTGATTTTCCTTCAAAGTAGCTCTTACTGGGGTTTATGACCCTATCACTGACAGAATGAAATCAAATCTAGCCTGGCATTCAAGGCCTTCCACAATCAAACTTGTCTTTTTCAACCTGTCCTGTGATTCCTCTTCAAGCACCCTGTGCTCCAGTTGTAATTAACTCTTTGAGGTTGCCTACATATATCCTTAGAAGCCCTGGTGGCACAGTGGTTAAACTGCTAAGAGTTTAACCAAGAAGTCAGCAGTTCGAACCCACCAGCAGCTCCACAGGAGAATGACGAGGCAGTCTGCTTCCATGAAGATTTACAGCCTTGGAAACTCTATGGGGATGTTCTACTCTGCCCTACAGGGTCACTATGAGTTGCAATTGACTTGATGGCAGTAGGTGGGCTTGGGTCGGTACATTCAATACTCTGCCTTTATTCAACTGGTTCCTTCATCCTAGAGTCCCCTACCTTCCTCCCATTATCGCATTATCAAACTCTACCCTACACTTAAAGGCCTAGCTCAAACATCATCCCCCTGGAGGCCTTCCATGGTTCCCAGCCACTCTTCCCTTCTGAAGTAATAACTTGCTCTTTTCTGACTTCACACAGTATACTTGCTTGGTAACTAACACCTTCTACCTAGCCCTATAGCTAACCTTAAACCTAATTTTCTACCTATCAATACCCTAGACTGTATTTCAGTCTTGCACATGATAAATATGGAGAAATATTTGCTGAATAAATGAACAGTTAAAAGAATTCAAGGATAATTCAGGCTAGCCTGGATCTGAATTCCAGGGCATGATGATGTTTGTCTCTACCAGGCATGGCACAGACCATGTTCACAGGGCCATGTATGTTCTTCTGTGGATGCCTCCCCCTCATTGGTTTATCTGTTGTTGTTGTTATGTGCTGTCAAGTCAGAATTGTTCAGGCAATATTTCTGCCAACACATAGCGACCCCTCCTTGGGTTTCCAAGGAGGTATCACTAAATCCTTCTAAATAAGACCATGACTGTGGCTTCACTACTGAAACTTACTCAAGTCTGTTACATCTGTTCCCTTCTCATTGAAAAGAGTTGGCAGCCCCTGACCTCCTCCCTCAGCCTCACAAATGTCCCTGGCTCTGGGCTCACTTCCCTTTGCCTTGGTGGACAAAACTGGACAATTCTGGCTACTGGGCCATTCAACATAAGAGAAACAACAGAAATGCTGCTTCTCCCTAAGAATGGCAATTATTCCTTTATGTTGTTTACAGCAGACTAAGCACACTGGCAAGCATTTGGACAGTGACATTTGCTAGATATGATAATAAAATGAACATATAATTCATCTTTTAGCAATGAACTTTTTAACTCAGACGTGTACTTTCTGGTGAGGGAGAAGTGGTCTTTAGCTTGATGAAAAGATGGTATATCCTAGACAATTCCATTGAGAATAACTGTAGAGAGAGACATTCAAAGAACACACGAACCTGGAGTTTCAACCGTGTCCTGCTTTTTGGTTGTTCCCTTTGTGTTAATCTCACAACTTACATGATAGAAAGTGAAAAGCAAATGATGCTTCTGATGAAGGTGAATGGGAAGTTCAATCTTAATCTGAAATGACAGCAAAATTACACACAGAATTTTGTTTTAATTGCCAAGCTGGATTGTCAAGACATTTTTGTTCAGTTTCAATGATACTCCCCCCCCCAAAAAAAAACTTCCTAAATGGTAGGCTTAGCGGCCAAAGAAAGGATATTTAAATATATTCCAAATGCCTTTCTGCTCAGTTTCAATTTGACAGTAATATTCTCCTGGGTGGCTGATTTATTACTTTTGGCTGGAGAGTCCAACTGATTCTACCGGATTCAGCACTGCAACAGGAGTTTCTACAAAATTGGATCAAAACCACATCCTCACAGCCCAGGGGCACTATGTAACTCAATCTGAGTCAATGAATGCCAACCTTTTTTAAAAAAGTGCACTGAATCTTTTTTTCTAAGTTGTTGCTCTTTTTGCATGAAAAAAAAAATCAAACCTCTACAAATAAATGTGCAAAAAAGGCATTATGGTATCCACAAATCACAAGTCATATAAATTTTTCTAGAAGAAAAAAAGAACTTTATTCTTGGATTCAAAGATAAAAATTGTTACCCATGACATGTGAAATGATCCTAAAAATCAATGCTTATATTAAAGTATCCCAAGGTATTTTCTAATTGGAACCCAAATGAACATGTGGAATACCTGCTGGATGTGTGTAAAAGACAGTGCAGACATTGACTGCAATGCACATGTATGTACACACACAGGTACATGCAAAATAAACACATACTTTCTCCCTTCTGGTCAACAATATACAGTGAAGGACTGAAAAGTCAGTTCCCTTTACATCCTAAAAACAATATGGATTACTGACTACGTGCTTAAGTTTTTTGTGTGTCTGTTGTTGGTTATAGAGATGGACAAATTAAACCACTCAGTGATGGACATCTGGTTCAATTATCATGCATACAAGGCATGGTATTGGTGTTATAACCAACTTCTGTTGTATGTATACGTTCCCTATAGGACATGTCTATTCACAGCATCCGGACCATCTGGGTATCTAATGCTCTACTGCACATAAATATGGGCATATTCCCTCCCTGGGTGGCAAAAATACAAGGCACTACAACGTCCCCTCCCCAAAACTAGGGATACGTTGGACTAAGAGAGGAATGAATGAGACCCAACGTTGGGGTGTAAAGCCTTCATATGACAGTAGGTGGACCTGAGAAATCATAACAGCAGGGGGGATGGTTTTAGACAAAGCCAGGAATTGAGACATGAAGACTGAGAAGCAGAAACAGCCGAGCATCTGGCCTGGGATACACTTTCAGGTTCCATGGAGACATGGAGGAACTGAAAGCAGTCTACAAATTTGAACAAGCCAGAGACAGATGGAAAAAGGCTGTGATAGAGACATTGACAGAGACACAGAAATACAGAGACATGTAGAGACAGAAGCAGGAAGAAAGAGAGAGAGGCACAGATGGGCCACAGAGACAGAAGGCAGTGGCCTCAGGACAGGAGGTGCAGAGGTTGAAGATCACCCCACTGCCCTTGATCTATTTTGTGCTGAGAGGTTTAGTGCAGCCAGTGGAATTCCGTGCCACTGCGTCTCTCGAAACATTTCACTTACTTTTGAAAAGCTGCTTCCTGCCCCACAGAACCACAAGAGAAAAGAGCTAGAAGGGCCTTCGGAGCACCTGCCCTGAATTTCTTATTTTAAAGCCGAGGAAATGGAGAGTCAGAAAGGGGAAATGACTTGTTCAGGCCACAGGGCCAGCTGTTGTGTAAGCCAGGGCTAGAATCCTAGTCTTGGGTCTGGTGTTTGTTTCCTACATTGTTATCTCAAGTCCGAGTCCCTTAAACTTGGGGGTAGATCTTCCACTGTCATCAAAGGGCACCAAGCAGGCAGTGGCCCTTTGTTTTGATGTGACATGTTCTGTTTTCATACAACAAAACTTTCAGGGATTTAAAGTGCAGATAAAGTGATGGAAATGACTTGGAGGGAAAAAGAACAGCAAGCACTGCATTTGGTAAATGTCACAGGAATGTGTTTTTTTACCTCATCGTAGAACTCTGGATTCTGGTTGTGATGTGAGACGACAGCATAGGTATTTGTGGTAAAAACAGATCCTGCAGGTTTGCCATAAATACACTGCGAAAGAATGAAACAGGGACACTGCTCCAAATGCACGTCTTTAAATGTGATGCTATGGAACCACATAGAGACAGAGGCATCTGTGAGTACAAGGCCACAGCCAAGCCCAACTGGTTCTCACCAGGAGCCTGTCAATTCACAATCACTGACATAGCCACTCCAGATGCCACGCCACATAATGCCTGACTTGATGGTGTGGATGCTTTTGAATAAATCCAACACCATCACAGATATGCCCATTCAAAATTAGCTGATGGGAAAAAGTTGAAGATTTCTAATCATTAGGAAAAAAGACACTGTCAATACCAGGCATTTAAAGCTTGCTTCTTTTATGGTATTTGAATTTCTTAATATGAGAGGGATCCCCCCACCTCCTATTACCAACCACTAAGCAACACTTGGCTAAGGCACTGGACTGCTAACCAGGAGGCTGGCAGTTCAAACCCACCAGCCACTCATCGGAAGGAAGATGAGGCAATCTACTTCCGTAGTGATACTGCCTAGGGAACCCGAGGAGGGGTCGCTATGAGTCAGGTCTGACTCGATGGCACATAACAACAACAACACAACAAGCAACACTTGCTGAGCACTCACTGAGCAGTGGGTGAAAGGAGGAGCTACAAACAGCAACAACATTAACAGCTAGAAGACATAGGGCTTAAAAAAAAATCGTAAGTTGCCTTAGAGTTAATTCAGACTATGGTGTTACAGAGTAGAACTGTTCCATAGGGTTTTCGTGGCTGTAATTTTTACAGAGGGTCCCTAAGTGGTGTAAACAGTTCTTGAGTATTAACCCAAAGGTTGGTGGTTTGAACCCACCCAACAGTACCATGGAGGAAAGGTCTGGCTGTCTGCTTCTGTGAGGATTACAGCCAAGGAAACCCTATGGAGCAGTTCTACTCTGTAACACATGGGGTTGCCTTGAGTTGGAATTGACCCGATGGCAAGGAGGTAGCTATTTATGGAAGCAGATTGCCAGGCCTTTCTGCTGTGGCACCGCTGGGGTCGGTTCAAACCTCCAACCTTTAGGTTAGCAGTCAAGAGCCAACCATTTGTGCCACTCCAGGGCCCTTAGACACATTCCCAGCCTAGGAATTTAAAAAATTAAAAACTGAATGTCTCTTCAACTTCAGACAGCTTTCTGTTTGCTCAGCCTGTGAGCCATATATTTTTTTTTTAAATCCACTGGCTTTCTGTTATAGCAGTAGAATAAATGTGATGCTTTCCGTGGCTCCATGGAAAGATCCAATTTCATCTCTAGTGTGAGTTTTTCACTTGCACAGGTCTAATAAGCTCATGGATGAATATGGAGTCAGCAGGCCAAGGTACTAATTGCCTCACTCTGTTACTTCAGAGCAAGCCTCTTGGACAGCGAGGAAATGAAATTCAGACTCCAATGAGGGCAGAGCCAAGTCTCCTGAAATATGGTTATGAAGGCAATTTGCAGGAATTGCTGAGAGGTAACCTAAGACTCTTTACGTATATAAAAGGATGCTACATGGAAGAAAAAAAAAAACTGGTTGTTCTCATCTCCACTGAAGGCCAAACCAGAGAAAATGCACCTAATTTGAGCCAGCTAATCCTTAATTTAATTGAGGTTTCTCTGTGAAAAAAAAAATTTCCTTTCAAAGGTCAGGGCTATTAAACACTGGATGATTTAGTCCAGGGCATTGGAGCCTCTTTCCCTCGATGGTTTGAGTATCAGACTGGCCATCCATCGATCTGGTTTAGGCTCAATCCAGAGAAAGGGGCTACATGTTCCCCGCGTTCTCTTTCAGGTCTCTGACTAATGGGTTAAAAAAACAAAAGGAAAAAGCCAGCCACAAAGAGTGAAAATGTAAAGGCATCTGGGAAGTGATGGGTCTTTAAGGGTTGCTGTCTCAGATAATTCTGAGATTATGCTTTTCATAGACCACTAATCCAAGTTAGGAGGCACCATCAGGCCAGCCAGGGTGTAGAAGTCGTGTCTCAGATCAAAGCAGTCCTGCTGTGCTTGTCAGCTCAAAGCCTGTTCAGATTTCAAGGAGAAAGGAGTTTACAGTCCCCTGATGGAACCATTCTAAACCATCAGGTCACAAGAGAAAATGACCTTGTGATTGTGCATCAGAGCTATGCAAAATCAAAGCAGTGCCAAAGCAAAAATCTTTATCACACTGAAGCCCACCCACTTTTAAAGCTACATCTGCCCCCATGTCACTGCATTATTTATTATTAAACTTAACACTACATGATAGTTACCGTGTAAGAGCAGACAAAGAAAATATTACATGTGTTACTTTAGCACACTTTATTCTTCATGTTTAAACAAATTAAACTTATAGTATGAGATTACCAATGACCAAATTCTCAACCTCTACTAAAAATATACACTTACGAATAGCATAAACAAACCTTCAGAGCACTAGCATCACTTTCATCGGAATCCCGGAATTCCACACAGACAGCAATGTTCCTTGCCTAAAATGATTAATCATTCAGAATGAGTTCCAAACGAAAAGTCTGTGAATAGCATTTTCTACCCCAAAAGGTCCAGTTTACACTATTTACCTTGGCAAATGTTTTCTGGCCATCGTATTTTAATTGCAAGGGATATACATACAGATGGTTTTTGTAAACAGTAAATGGGTAACAATATTTTGTCATTTCTGGAACAAACTCTTCAACCTCCACAGTAATATTTTGACAATTCTTTTCAAAAGGCTTCAGGGGCACATATGAAGAAGTAATACAATCTATAGCAGGGAAAAGAAAAAAAAGGTGAAGATAATACAATTTAGTGATCATTATTAGTATATTCCTGTTTTTATAAAAATATACTATGTTCAAATGAAATATGTTCTCAAAGAGTGATTTTAAAAAGTGGAATTCTTCATGACAAAAAAAAAATAATAATAATACAAGCACTTGAAGAATCTAAAAGGACAAGAGAGTAGCCTGGCGCAGTTGTTAGTGGAGTCCTCAATGTCGACTGGAGTGATTTGCCAAATGTAACACATCATAATTTTGACAAATTTAAACTCTGCAAAGAAATCCATTACCTTTTCTCTCCTGTGGCTGCAATTTAGCTTTCACTGCAAAGTTTTATTGGTATCAGGGAAATAACAGTAAATTTATGATTCCAATTAGCTCATTGGTGAGTTGCTTTTAAAAAGTTAACTGGGTGCAGGTGCCAATTTTCACCTAAGAAACAGTGGAAGCCTTTTGAAATGACAGATCTTATGATGCATTACCAATAGTAAAGTTGATATTCCAGAAGGTGAGAAATAAAAAGACCCAGAAAAGTTTCGCAGCATGTTACTGAAGTAGGCACTGTGATGAAGGTTCTTCGTATCCTAAGGGTCTCTAAGACTGCTTGCCTTTGCCACAGAGGTACTGCTAGAGAAGGAAGACTCAGGGAGGGTCAAGCCTGAGCACCCAGTACTTTTTGTTGGGTTTGCTCTTCTCTGATGACAGAAACACATACTTAAATAGAAAATCTAGAGGTTATCAAGGTGTACAAAAATAAATGAACATTTAATACCCAGAAATAACTACTGTTAGCATTTTGGCACAGTTTCTTCTAGTCTTTTTGAAAAAATATACTGTTTAAATTGAATTTTTTAAAAATAATTTACATATAGATATTATTTTACTTTCGCTGTTGAGACTATGTACAGCAGAACATACACCAACTCCACAGTTTCTTCACGCACAATTCAGTGACATTGATATTATTTGAGTTGCATAACCATTCTCACCCTCCTTTTCTGAGCTATTCCTCCACCATGAAAATAAACTCACTGCCCTCCAAGGTTCCCACCTAATCTTTCAAGTTGCTGCTGTCTATTTGATTGCATATAGGTAATTCTTACAAGATCACAATGCTGAAGGCAGATATTCTTCACTAGTTAAGCTAAATTACTCTTTGGTTTTAAGAAGATTTCAGGGGCTATATTGTTGGTTTAAGGTTTGAAGATTATTTCAGGGCAATAGTTTCTTTCAAGAGAAGCTCAAATTCTATTCTGTATCCTCCTCCTTTTGATCAGGATTCTCCTGTAGAATCTTTGCTCAAACTGTTCAGTAATGAGAGCCAGGCACCATCCAGTTCTTCTGTTCTCATAGCAATGGAGGCAGTTGTTCATGGACGCAAGTAGTCAACATACCCCATATCTTCCTTCTATTTCCGATTCCCTTCTTTCTTTGTTGCTCCAAGCAAATAGAGATCAATTATTGTGTCTTGGATGGCTGCTTGCAAGCTTTTAAAACCCCAGGCACTACACAAAGAATTAGGAAGTAGAACCAAACCAAAAACCCAACTCACTGCCGGCAAGTCAATACTGATGCAGAGTGACCTCTCCTTGGGTTTCCGAGGCAGTATCTCTACAGAAGTAGATTGCCCAACCTTCCTTCCAAGGAGTGGCTGGTGGGATTGAACCACCAGCCTTCTGGTTAGCAAACAAATGCCAAACATGTTCGTAGGCCAATTAACTAGAAAGGCCCATGAAGCCTTGACCCTCAACCTCTAAACCAAGGAAAAAAATCCCATGAGGTGTTTGGCTGTACAGCCTCAGCATTTACCCCTCTGCCCCTTTTAAAATCACTGGTGTAAATATATCTGTTCTGCTTACCTAGTGCCGCTCTGACAGGAATATACCACAAATGGGATGGCCTTATCAAACAGGAGTTTATTCTTACAGTTTTGGAAGCTCTAAGTCCAAGTTCAAAGTGCCAGGCTCTAGGGGCTGGGTGAAAGCCCCTCA